CATGCTAACAGACAAGGATGGCAATGAGGATGAATGGATTGCACACCTAAACATCAACAGAGTAGAGGTACCACTGAAAATTGACACAGGGTCACAAATAAATGTTTTGCATTACAAATACTTCAAAAGACTGAACCCAAAACCTCTGGTGAGGCCAAAGAAACTGAACCTGAGAGCGTTCAATAACCAGCCTATCTCCATACAAGGGAGTGTTTCGAGCAACTATTAAAGGAGAATGGCGATCCTTCAGTGCTTTGTTTGTTCTTGTGGAGGAGGATAGACAGCCTATCCTTGGTCTCAAGGCAAGTTAAAAAGATTGGACTAATTAAAAGCGTTCATGTTATAGACAGCAAATTCCTAAGTACTAGAACCACACAGCAGAAAAACACAGAAGAAAGTGCTGAGACAACCAGGGAGCTAGTGAAAAAACATGAAGAACTTTTTCATGGTGTTGGGTGTTTACCAAACACATACAAAATACAGTTAAAGGACAATGCAGAGCCAGTCATCCACCCAGCTAGAAAAGTGCCGATGGCATTAAAAGAGAGACTGTGGAAGGAATTAAAGACTCTCATAGACAAAGGGATCATCAGGAAAGTGGAAGAACCAACAGACTGGGTGAATTCACTAGTAAAAAAACACGGAGATCTGAGGTTGTGCATTGACCCAAAAGACTTGAATAAATGGATTAAAAGAGAGCACTTCAAGTTGCCCACAAAGACAGACATAACAAGTACTATGGCAGGTGCACGCTTCTTTTCCAAACTGGATGCATCATCAGGGTTCTACCAAATCAAACTGGATAATCGAAGTGCAAAATTGTGCACATTCAACACACCTTTTGGGAGACATTGTTTTTCTTGCATGCCTTTCGGAATTGCCTCAGCACCTGAAGTTTTCCACAAGACAGTACAACAGTTGTTTGATGGAATGGAAGGTGTTGGAGTGTTCCTGGATGATGTGGACATATGGGGAACCACACAAGCTGAACATGATGAGTGGCTGGCGAAAGTGATGTTAAAAGCAAAGCAGTTGGGGCTGAAACTGAATAAACAAAATTGTCAGTTTGGGGTGAGTGAGATAACTTACTTGGGAGACAAACTATCTGCAGCAGGTATACAACCAGACCCTGAAAAAGTGAGAGCAATTACAGACATGCCCATACCAGAAAACAAAA